AGAAAGTACTATTGACAATTTTATATCCGAAATAGGACGACTCAAACAAAAAGTGGATGTTGAATGAAAAAATCAGAAAGATGAAAGAAAAAGTAAGCACCTTGCAAGTAATGGCTCTTGGTAATGAACAATTCAAAAATATATACAGGGAATCATACAGACCACTTTTGAATCAATCAAAAAGTGACTATTTCAAAAATATGATTGAAGAAAGTGACAGCAAATCAAGAACCACCTGGAATGTGATAAATACCCTCAACAACAAGGCAGGAAATAGCAACACTGTTTTATCTAATACTCATGGGGACGGAGTGAATCTATAGCGAATGATTTTAATGTCCATTTTGTAAACTCTGCACCAGCTATCGAGAGTTTTCATAACAGGGAAAATCCTACCCCTAGTAAAACAAACCACAACTCGATATTTCTCTATCCAGTGAGTGAAGAAGAAATAATCCAATCCAGCTATAAACTCAAAAATAAAATGAGCAGTGGTATAGACAAATGAAACTGGCCGTAGTTATCCCCATATATAAAAAAGGTGAACAAAATGACATGAATAATTACAGACCAATAAGTTTGTTAACAGCTTTCTCCAAACTATTTGAAGTTATTATGTCAATGAGAATTACGAATTGTTTTGTGGCACATGGCTTGTTCAATGATTTCCAACATGGTTTTCTTAAAGGGAAAAGTACCGAAACAACCATGTGCAAGTTTCTGGATGAAATTCAATATTTAATTGAACAAAACTCTTGTGCCTGTGGCGTCTTCCTGGACCTCAGTAAAGCGTTCGACTGTGTTGATCATTCCATTTTACTTCGAAAGCTTTTCAATTACGGAATAAGAGGAAATGCTTTGGATCTCTTGAAATCGTATTTGAGTAACAGGAAGCAAAAAGTACATATTAGGCAACGAAATAATGAATTTTTCTCAGACTTCACTGAAATAGGAAAAGGCGTATCACAGGGAAGTGTACTTGGACCTTTACTATTTATTATATACATAAATGATTTCTCTGAAATTTACAAAAAATCAAGTACTAAAGTTGTGAACTATGTAGATGATTCCAATCTCATTGTACCAGTAAACAGGAACCTCAACTTGGAAAAATCCATTTCAAATAGCATTTTTATAGCATCCACATATTTCAATACCAACAAGTTATTGTTAAACACATCTAAAACATACTGCATTTTGTTTAAAAATGTTCACATGAATATTTCTATTCCGGAGGAATAGAAATTTATATAGGAATTTATATAGATGATGAACTGAATTATGAGGGACATATTGACTATCTTGTAAAAAAACTAGCAAATAAGTGTTATACAATTCGAGTGTTGAGACGTCACTTGAAAGTCGATGCACTTAAAACCGCATATTATGGGACTGTTTATCCTCTGCTGAAATATGGAATATTAGTATGGGGAGGGAGTACACAACTGGAATGTATTTTCATAATGCAGAAACGTATATTGAAAACAATGTTCAATATGAATTACACAGATACTTGTCGTGGTACCTTCAAGGGTAACAAAATGCTTACTGTAAATGCTATATATATTTATGTTTGTGTACTTTTTATAAACGAGAACAAATCGAATTTTGAAGATGACAAATATAGGCATGAGTATTCCACCCGACAGAAATCCACTTATATTGTTCCTGAACATAGATTGAAAAACACAGAGCATGGGCCGCATCACGCATCAATTAAATTCTACAACAATTTACCCTTGATTATCAAAGAAGATCGGACAAGACTAATTTTTAAAACAAGTGTTTTCGATCTGTTGTGTGACATTGAGCCATATTCATTACAAGAATTCATGGACAAATAACTATTTTCAGTCTGTATCAAATTCAAGCTTCCTAGTAACTTCAGTATTACATAATACATTTTACTCATCAATCTTTATCTGTGATATTTACTTATTTGTTCCGGTCATTTTCATATACTTATTGTATTTACCTATACCACAAGCTTTTATTTATATTAATATTTAAGACATTTGTATTGTTAATGTAATCATTTTTATGACTTGAGTTTTATCAATTGTTCAAATTGAAAGCTTTAATAAATCTATATATCTATCTATTTTACCACTTTAAAAAGTCATTTAGGCAATTTATATGCAGACAACCAAGACAAATGATATCTGATTTTGTTAACAAAAAAAGATTTGAAATGAAGTTTTTATCAATGTAAAAATTGTGTGAAAGAACAAAATTGTTATTACTTTACAATATAACCTCAAATTATACAGGGTGTCCCTGGACTTCCTCTTTTCCTCTCGGGAATGTATAGATGGGGTCAAAATATCACCAGTACTTCATATAACACTTGTATGTTTGTTTTTTCGTTCATTTGTAACCAACTCCTTTGGACTCGATTTTGACTAACTTTAAACAGACAGATGTATTTTAAACTTTGTACACTCATCAAGAATCGGTGACAATACAATAATTTCATAAGTTCATCTCATTATCCTGATCAGGATCGCCAGGATTAAATAACTAGATTTATTCTGATTTCAGACTTATTGAAAATCATTAGTTATATCAAGCCATAGGTTACGAATAATTTTCTATTTTTTAGTTTGTGTTGCTATTAAAGCGTGTTTTTTAGTTTTTTGAACTATTATTTATCCACTTATAAAAATATAATAATTCATAAAAGGTAAAACTGGAACATCTGGCGAAGAATAAATTCAAAACAAGTACTTTTTCCAATCACCAGAGGCGCAATTCACCTGAAAACTCAAACTTCATCTCCTGAATACCCAAATTAGTTAAGAAAACGCGCGTCGAGAAGAGTATTGCATTTCGGGTGATTGGAAAAAGTACCATTTTTTGATAATAATGTAATTTCATTATCTTTCAAATATTATGAACAAAGCGATGTTTCAAAATTATTATGTTATGAATGAATGAGTTGAGAGGTAAAACCTCGTTAATCCTTAGCTCCCACAAGTTTCAACATCTGATGGTTGTCGTTCGTAGGGGGTCAACAGCTGGTTAGCAGAAAAACATATTTCAACACATCATTTTTATAAGTATAGTGTGCGACCCTGAAAAACCTCCAAGCGATGTAACGTGTCTGCTGGTGATTTCTGTTCCTTATATAAAGGGACCATCAGCAAGAATCACTAAAACGGGATCTAAAAGTACAACACTTTCCAATACAAGATAACCCTATAAAATCTTATTCATAAATATCCATTTAGTGAGTCTGGCATTCTCTGACCTGATGATCATTCACTTCGCAGTTTGGTCGATTTGGTAGGGTTTTCCTAGAGCTTGTGTTATACGTGATTTTTTCCAAGTTTAACTCCTCTCCCCTCTCACATATTTGTAAATGATTAGAATTACCCTCGGAAGACCAAAAACTTTTTTCTCAAAAATCAATCCCCCCTTAAAATAAATATACCCTTTCAATTTAAACAAAACTCCTATGGCTAGGATTTAATTAGATAAGCGAATGAATGTTATTTACGTACTGTCATCGATGACATGGGTGGAAGTGAAATTTTACTTCTTTCATTAGTTATATTGTGTAGGAATCCTGTGAATGGTATCTGATTCGATCTCATATGAATGTTTGGAATACAAACAGAATAGAGAAAAGTGTTTTTCGTATAATTCAGCGTTCATATAAAAGCACTTGTTTCGAAAGCATTTTTCTTTCGTTTAATTCAATGTTCATATGAAAATAGCTGTTTCGAAAGGGCTTTCTCTTTGTTTGTGTTTGAAAGTTACTTCTTTGCATGATCTACACATCTTTGTATAGAGTTAATTTTTGAAGTTGATATTGCTTCCTTCCTTTCTTAGGAAGATTCACACATTTTTTGTATCAAGGTGAAGAAGTAGAAACCTAAAACCTTTCTCTCCCAAAAATTCATCTCTCCTAAAAATATACCCTTTCATTTTACTCTCGGAACTGCTCAGAGTAAGAGTTATACCTAATACAATACATCATGACATTGAAAATTTCGAAGGTCAAGCCTGCCCTGTTTGAAGTTTGATGTAATGAAAGTTTGAAATATACACAATATTTTCCTCTTCTATTCCTTGGTTGATTTCTGAAATACCTAAAAGTGGATACTCTTCGATATGGTTTTTCCCAATATTTTTATTACCTGATCTTAACTTGTTTGAGAAATATTTATTTGAATGGTACCTCTCTGAAAAATGAATTCACGTTTATGTTATGCTACAGTACATATGTAATTTTTTTCAATATGTTCGATCGCCTTTTTAGGACCTGCGAGGAAGTAATATTTGCTTCACTTTCATATGCATAATTCCTTTGAGGTATACATTTGTCATCCATGACAAGTTTCATAAAAGTCCTTCTTTCCACTCTTTGCATGGTAAATTTGTAAAGTTGTATTTCGTGACGTATGACGTATGAATAAAAACTACCTAATATTTTTCGAAAACAATGTTATAAGAAAATATACTAGACAGGGAATGGAAAGAAGTTGATGAAATGAGTTACACAAAGTGATTTCTGACATCAAGCTAGTTGAAAGTGAATTTATTTTTTTATTGAAGCGTAATTTCCCTTTGCATATTAATTTCTTTATTTATTTGCAGTTACATTATTAGTACTATTCTCCTTAAATCTCTATCTCTGTTATACTAATAATTTTCATATGTGTAGGTTGAGTTAGAATAACTTCGCCCCCATCCAAGGAGCTCAATTGAACATAAAGGAAATATGAGCATAATAAATAATTTTTGTGGAAATAAAATTTCATGTCATGTTTTCAGAACATAAAAACATTTTATGTGCCCAATAGTCAGGGTTTGTAGAAAACAATGCACACATATCCGTCACTTGGAGAAAATGCCTCTAGCAATGCAACTAGCTTGGTGATTGGAAAATCTAATACGTTTATTTCAGGAAGCGAGTGATACTTTCAATTAATTTTTCGTTTGAAAAAAAAATCATATCGTGGTAAATTTTTGCACAGATAACCTTTTCTTTTTAGGGTCTTACTTGGCCTGCTATGTATGCTCTTGTGGGGCACTGGATTCCGGTTCCTGAAAGGAGCCGGTTTATGTCCAGTTTTCAAGGTGAGTATCTAAAATGCTCCAAACCAACAAATATAATAACCAATTCAAAATTTTTGGGAAAATAAAACGATTTGATGAAGACAAATATGAATTTCTATTTTGTGGATTTAGAAACTTGCGTTTCTATCAACATAACCATGCCACAAATACGAATGTTATGAATGCTTTGTACCCACAACAGAACAGATACAAAATGTTTGTTATTAGATTTGATGAAAATTTATTTTACCAATGGAAGTGAAGTGAATGTTATCCATACCCTGTTTATTTGCCATATACAGTGCGGACGTAAAAATTTCACCCTCCTTAACTTTTGAACGGGATATCATAGCCGGACAAGATTTTGGACTGTCAACTTTTTTTTCGAATACAAAGAGGGTCTTGTGATCTTTCGCTTGAAAGATATTTCAATTCTCCATATCACGACCTTTTCCGGTTTCAATTTGTTTGACCGATTACGCATTTATTGGTGTGTCAATGGGAGGCTAGGAAAAATGATAATTGATAACTTTGCAACTGAAAAAGGATGGCAATGGCTCCAAAATTAGTTAATCACAAGTTACACAAAGTTTGTAAAGAGTAATAGAAAGAAATTTTTCACCTAAATGAATCGTAATTATAATAAAATTGAACCGAAGTATTTGACATAAAGGGCGCTTTTCTGTTTTCAATCTAATTTATGATTTTTTTAGAATTCACCGAGTAGATAAGTAGATAAGATTCCACAGAGAATTTTTGAAAGAATGTGAACTTTCACGGCCAGAGATAATGGTGTCAAAGCTATTTTCAGGGTTTTATGGCTGACGTTTTGTCTACTACTGCGGTAGATATTATTAAAGGCGATGAGGTAACGGTCGAAATGTTCAAGTTGTTCTCAACGCAGAAACTACAATGGTAGAATTGGTCTCCGGTTTAATATCGTATCTTTTTTCATTAAGGACAATTAGTCAGGTTTTTCTAATGTTCTTCGCCTCTTTTCCTATTGAAACTATTCCTGTGTTTTTGAATTTCTATTGCCTCTCTCTATATTCTTGAATAGTAATTTTGAGATTCATTGAGTATTTGTGATCTTCGAATGAGATACCTAATGTGAGTGACTTATTTGAGATTATCTTCGGCTGTAGCTGTTTTTTGGTTTGTCCGAGTCAACAATTTGTTTTGTGTTCAGAGAGATGCGTACCTATATTTCTTTTCGTGGTTTCAATGTAGACCGACCCGCAGCCAGAAGGGATCCTATACCCAAGGGTTTATTAAAGGCTATCTGGGGCCCATAGCTGACCTTAGACTCTCTCTGATAATTTTCGTTGACATAAATATTGGTTTTACGTTGTGTCGTTTCTCTAAAATTCCACCAATTCGGTGTGTAATAGTTCAACATAGGGAGGGAAAGCTATTCCCCTAACCTTCGCTATGCACGTCAAGAAGCCCGCTATATGTGAAAAGTTTTCTTTCCTTATACGAGGAATTGGGCAAATTTCGTTTATGCGGTTGGTTACCTCGCTCACAGGCAGATTGGGCGATGCCAAACCTATTGTTTCTCGTCCGCTTCAGCCAGAGGAATGATACTTCGAAGGAATTTGATTTTCAATAATTGGAAATGATCGACTTTATGTTGATGATAGACACTACCTTGCACTGACGAGTGGCCAAACAGCCCGAAACCAGTCTGCAAGTGTGTTCCAATAATTGAAAATCTATTGCGGCAGTTGTATCGCCAACGGCATATGCAGGAATAACTATGAAGAATCCTGCACTGACACCTGTCGGATATAATCCAATGCCCTTTGTGGTATCAGCCAGGATAAAAGTTATTTTCTGATAGGTGTCACTCCATTAACTTAGAGTGTAGGTAATTTGAGACTGGCCTCAACGAATTGGTTCTTTAGATGATTTGATTTATAGCCAGTCTTCACGTAGTCGCACTGACTGTGAAAAGTTTTCTTTCCTTATACGAGGAACTGGTCAAATTACGGATATGCGGTTGGTTACCTCGTTCACAGGCGGATTGGGCGATGACAAACCTGTTGTTTGTTGTCCGCTTCAGCTTATGTTGAGGAATGATACTTTGAAGGAATTCGATTTTAAATAGTCGGAAATCAACGACTTTATGTTGATTGATGATAGACATTACCTTGCACTGACAAGTGGCCAAACAACCCGAAACCGGTCTGTGTGTTCCAATAATAGAAAATCTATTGCAGTTTTATCGCCAACAGCATATGCAGAAAATATTTCAGTGAAGATTCCTGCACTGGCTCCTGTCCTATATAATCCAACGCCCTTCGTGGTATTATTCAGGGGAGTATTTGTTTTTTTATAGGTGTCAGTCCATTAACCTACAGTGTAGGAAGGTGAGACTGACCTGAACGCATTGTTCCCTTAGATGATTTAATAGAAAATTCTATTTTGGATCACTCCATTGCTTGAGTGCACATAGTATAGAATATTGGGAATTCATATTGTTGGTCCCGTATATCTAGAGAAAAATCTGACTGGCGAAATATAATCCAACGCCCTTCGTGGTATTATCCAGAGGAGTATTTGTTTCTTGATAGGTGTCAGTCCATTAACCTACACTGTAGGGGGGTGAGACTGACCTGAACGCATTGTTCCCTTAGATGATTTAATAGAAATTCAGAAACACAGGGATATTTCCAATGGAAATGAAGAGGCAATGAACATTAGTAAAAATTGGTAACCCGTCCTTGATTGTACAAGGTTACTTGATCCAAGAGAGAAACGAAGCCACGATGATATAAAACCGGAGACGAATTCCAACATTGGAGTTCCTGTGTTGAGAACAACTCGAACACTTCGCCTTTAATGATATCTACCGCTGTAGTAGACATAACATCAGACATAAAAATCTGCAGACCACGACCAACCAAACGGATAAATAGCTTTGACATAGGAATACTGTGTTAGCTTGACAGCTATCAGTATTGCTACAGAAAATTCGCTCCACTGTCGTGTCGTTCAAATTTTCAAAAATGGTCCACCCCAGAATTTCAGAGGAAAAAACAGAAGCAATCCTTATTTACGGTACGAGACCGGATGTGATTTTCATGACAGAAAATATATTCAGTACAAGATTTCTTAATAATCCGATCTGAAGAATCAGGAAATTGGTTGAAAAATTTCAAACAACTGGAATGGAAGCTAGAGCTAGAAAAGCTGGACGACCAACAGATATAAATCGTCGCGCCACGGCATCAGCTGCCCGTAAGACTGATGTCCCAGAAACCACCGCTAAGAATACATAAGTTTCATCCCTATGAACTGAAGATATTACGTGAATTGAATGAAGATGACCTTGAGAGAAGAATGTAGTTTTATGAATAAATGTCCACTGAAGATTATTAATTGTAGTGGCGAATGTCCTTTTTTCTTGAACAAAAATGTCAACTGCCAAAATGTGCCATATTGGTCAGACATAAACCCACATATTTTTCAAGAAGATTATACTCAAACGGCTGAGAAAATGAAAGTCTAAATTATATCCATCCAACAAACATAGCAACCCAAACAATGGTAGATGCATGATCAAAGCATGATCACCACGCATATTCGCATCTATTGGGTACAATAAACAAGCTTCCTCACGCTGGCCAATCAGATTCAACTGCAGTTGGCTGGCGGAATTCATTGTTACAGTGTCGGAGTGATCAGTTACGTTATAACGCCTGTGATGTGTACATATACGGTATTTTAAAGTTTAAAATTTTCAAAATGTCAAGTACTGATACGGCTGGAGAAACTGCTAATTTGTTTCCCAACTCTCCACGTAAAAAAACATCATATAGCGAGCCGCATATTGTAAAAAAAAATTAAATTTTGGTCGTTCCTTAGTGCAGCTCTGTACAAGCATCCTTGTCTGGGAGATCACGTACACTATGCATGATACTGTTTTGGATCACTCCATTGCTTGAGTGCACATAGTATAGAATATTGGGAATTCATATTGTTGGTCCCGTATATCTAGAGAAAAATCTGACTGGCGATTCAGATTTGGAAATTCTTCAAAACCTCATTCACCCACGGATTCAGGCTGGTAAGGGATTGGTTTTATCAGGCATACCCAGGCAAATTGTAGGCGCGTTTCTTTGGAATGGCCTTTTCGTTCACCGGATTTGACTCCTCTCCATTTTTTTGAACTATATCAAATCGAAAGATTATGTTACGCAACCTGGGACAATGCGGGAACTTAGAGTCAGAATTACCGAAACTGAAGCTAGCAGTACTCCAGAAGCAAAATGTTAGAAGTGAGTTCGAAAATAGACTGTTTCGGTGTCAGGGATTCAAGAAGAAAATTTAGAACATTTCGTGCAATTATTTTTTCATATATGAGATAAATGATAAGAAGGTTCCCTTGTAGTTAACACTTATCTGTTGCAAGAGATTTTACTAATTTATATATCTTTTCACTGAATATTCATTTACAAAAATCTGACATAGGTTGGCGGAGTTACGAAGTTCCTAGTTCAAAATTCAAACATCAATAACTCTGCAACTAGTTATCCAAATTAAATAAGTGTATAGGGAATTGAATTTCCTAGCAAACGAAAAGTCACAAAACCTTTGAAAAAAGTTCACAGTCCTCTCGATGCAAGTGATGTCACACTATTGGCGTTTACTCACCATGAAGTACTGAAAATGAATCCTTTTCACAAAATTTTTGCCCAAATCTGATGTGTTGTATCGTTCGAAAGTTATGAGGGGGAGACTATTAAGGTCAGCACTGTATGAGAATACAGTTTTGGATGGAATATGCTTTGTAATATACGAGTATACGAGTACCCCAAAAATAGTTCCTCGTAGCTTTTTTTGTTCAAAACCAATCAAATAAATTAAAAGGTAATTAAGTTATCTCGATCCATTCAAAACTGTCACAATTTTCCTAACTTAACGACAAACATTGAAGAACATTTAGTTTTGGTCAGTATTAAATTCGGTGAAATGAAGAAACATTTTAGAAGTTCTATAAAAAGAAATATTAATGG